CAATACTAGAAGAGCATAGACCACATAAAAATTTTAATCCAAATTATAAAATAACTTTATTTCTTAAAATAAATTAGATTAGAAATCATTATCAATAAACATCAAATATATAGATTTATAACAACAAAAACTCAAACTAACAAACCTTATTTGCAGAAATACACACACACACATATATACATATATATATATATATATATATATATATATATATATATATATATATATATATATATATATATATATATATATATATATATACTCATATAGTGTCGCTTTAAGAGCATTTTAATGTAAAAAAAGTCTCTTACGACTACAATTTTAATTACCTCGTCTCTTAAGCTGTTTTTGATTGTCATCGAAATGTCAAAGCAATTAATTTATGCGGAAGTACATTAAATTTAATTGTTTTTTAAAAAATTTTTAAAAAACCGCAATTATAACGACTAGAAAGTTTTTTTTAATTAGTGGTGTTTTTGTTATTGATTTAATAAAAAATATTTTTTAAACATGCGTAAATGTTGCTACATCGACTATCTTATAGCCTGACTCGCAACGGAGTGCTGCTACATCGACTGACAAATAGCCTGACTCGCAACGGAGTGCTGCTACATCGACTGACAAATAGCCTGACTCGCAACGGAGTGCTGCTACATCGACTGACAAATAGCCTGACTCGCAAGGGAATGCTGCTACATCGACTGACAAATAGCCTGACTCGCAAGGGAGTGCTGCTACAACGACTGACAAATAGCCTGACTCGCAAGAGAGTGCTGCTACATCGACTGAGGGTTTGGTTTGGCCAGGCAGTCTATCAATTAAAAAAAAAAATTTAATATTTAAAACTTTTTCTGGTCTAGTTTATTAACGCGCTCTTTAAAACTACAGTTTATGGGAAATATTTTTTGATGCTACGCAAGAGACATGCAAGACTATTTCTTAAAATAAATTAGATTAGAAATCATTATCAATAAACATCAAATATATAGATTTATAACAACAAAAACTCAAACTAACAAACCTTATTTGCAGAAATACACACACACACATATATATATATATATATATATATATATATATATATATATATATATATATATATATATATATATATATATATATATATATATATATATATATATATATATATATTCCTTTTTTTTTTTTTATACCAAAATCAGATAATGTCATGAAAAAACTTGCTTCCTCATATAAGAGAAACTTGTTAGATAAATAAATTCAATAATAAAACTTTTCAAAAACTAATTATTAAAACAAAAACAAGCAAAAGATAAATAAGCATCCACATATATATATATATATATATATATATATATATATATATATATATATATATATATATATATATATATATATATATATATATATATATATATATATATATATATATATATATATATATATGTATATATATATATGTATAGGGATATATATATATATATATATATATATATATATATATATATATATATATATATATATATATATATATATATATATATATAGGGGTATATATATCTAATTAATATTAGATATATATATATATATATATAATATTAATAATAATATTATTATTGAAATTAATTAGCAATAATAATATTATTATTGAAATAATTGACGAGAAAACTGTACTCCCCGAAAAAGTGTCATCTAGCAGCGCTTCTATCTCTTGGGCTTCTGTCGTAACTGTCACAACTAAGAAATCAAAAGAGCAAATAGCATGATTACAATGGAATCAAATGAACGCACAAAAAGATCGAGTAACTTTTTTGTTTTTGATTTGGATATGCAGAACAATCCAGAAGCTACTTTTAGTAATAAAGAGGATATAGTGCTTATAAAGAATTTGACAGGTATGATAGGTGCGAGTGTAACAATTAAAAAGGTTTTTCGTCTAAAGTCACGTGATGCTAATCATGTACCGATTGTTGTAGATTTGAGAATTGGAAAGTCGTGTCGCTAGAAATCAAGTATTAAAGTGCGCAAGAAAGCTAAAAAATTTTGAAGAGTACAAAAACGTTTATTTAAATGCTGATCTAACTGAATCGGAGTTTTATCTAAACAGCTTAGGAAGAATGTTGAAAAACACAACAAATACGGGCACGCGTATTCATTACGGAATACGCAAGAACGAAGTGGTCAAATTATCTAAACAAGAACAGTTGTTGTGAGATTAATAAAAGTATTTTTAAGTTTATTAAGATAAATAAAAAATCAAAGAAATTAAGTCTAACGACTGATAAAATAAGTCACTTACGATGCTACTGTATTATTATACGCAATCTTTGTAGTAACTTTGAATTATTAAAAGTTTTTATTTACAATGACGTTAATGCCGATGTAATTATTTTGCAAGAAGTGTGGCAAACTAAAAATTTTATACACTATAAACTAGATAACTTTTCTGGTCCGGTTTTATTCCAAAGATTTTGAAGAGATGGTGGAACTGGAACATGTGTTAGAATCGGGAATAATTTTAAAGTAATTAATACTGGCTTTTATGAAAAAATGCTTGAATTTCGGGGAAATTACATACGGAAAACATTTATAAGCCTTCGGGTGGATTAGAGCAAGAGAAACTAAGGCTGATTCAAAAAATTATTTTAGAAAATAATAGTATCAACACAATTTTCTGCGGTGATTTCAACATCGACTTACTTAATTCAATAACTTCTCTGGATTACGTGAATTTCCTAAAAGAGTACAATCTCATAAATATTACGTATAGACCAACTAGATTAATTTCTGGTAAATGCCTTGATCATTTTTTGATTAGTAGAAATCAAACAAATGTTAAAGGAATAATTCATAATTATGGAATAACGGATCATCAAATTGTTTTATTTACAATACATGACTTCTTTGATAAAAAAATAACAAAGATGAGGTTTACGAAACTAAATGCGGAAACTTATAATTCAATTAAGACAAATTTGGACAATTACTACACTAATGAAAGCATTGAGACAAGTTACAAAAAATTTGTCAACAAAATCCAGATTGAGTTAGATATAGCAGCACCAGTAAAAACAATGTCAAAAAATCGGAGATTTTTACCAAAAAAAGAGTGGATGAATAGAGAATTGCTTGAATCGAGAAAGTTTATTACAAATTTAAGCTCTAAAGTTAGAAGTGAAAGACATTAAAGACTTAAAGACTTAAAGCATATCATAGTTCAAAATAAAAAAAGTTATAAAAAAAATATCTATATTCAAAAAAATAACCTCGTTAAGCAACAGCTGATAAATTGTAAAGGCGACAGTAAGAAAATGTGGTTTAAATAATTTATTAATTGAATCAGAACTTGAAATAGCTAAATTATTAATAGACCACTTTACAGATATTTCACTTGAGCTAAGACTAAGCAACTTTATTCCTATGAACCATTACAAATATCTTCCACCTCACGATGTTATTTGGGACTTAAAGTCAGTATCTAATGAGTCAATTATGCGAATTCTTAATGATTTAGTTCCTAAATGTAGTTGTGGTTTTGACCTAATTAGTAACTAGTTTATTAAACATTGCTTATCAACGTGCACAAATTTTTTAACAAAAATGATCAACAAATTGAGTGAAATAACCTGTACTAAACTGGTTGTTTCCCCGAAGATATAAAACTAGCAAAGATAACCCCTGTTTATAAAAAAGGAAATAAAACCGTTATGGATTATTACAGACCGATAAATGTATTAGCAGCGTTATCAAAATTATTTGAAAAAGCTGTACTACATCAAATTGAGATGAATATTGAGAACGGAATCATTCCGATAAATCAATTTGGCTTCAAAAAGAGATGCAGTTCAATCCATGCAAGCTTGAAACTTCTCAATAAAATAACAAGTTATAGAAAACCGTAAAAAAAATTGTTACAGTTTTGAGAGTTGCGTGCATGCCATTATTTGTAACAAACTCAAAAACATTGGTGCAGGTGCAAAAAATGGATTTTTTCATATTTAGCTGTCAGGAGGCAGGCAGTTGTTATTGGAAATTACACATCTAAAGAATTTATATTTAGTTTTATGCTTAAATTTTGTTAACTTATATACATATTAAAGTTAAATATTGTTTTTAAAAAATAAATTCGCGTTGGTACAAACTTGTGTTTCTGAATTTGGTATGTCATGGGTTTACAAAATAAAAATAAAGTTGTTAGTTGTTCTAAGTATGTAACATTTATTTATTTATAATAATTCTAAACATTAAACTTATGCTTTTTTTAAAAAACTTTTCAATAACAACTATAGTTGTCATAAGGGGCTAATTGCCTTTGTTTTAATTCTTTAAGTTTTCTAGCCCATTTGTAAAGGCAAAACTTTTTGTAAGTATTAAAACGTAGTCTTATAGAATAAAACTTTAGGCAACATTTTCTAGTTGCATTTATTAGAAAAAACTGGTTTGGAGCTTTTCCTGGACTTCAGAAAATAAAACTAATAACAGTTTGCTAACTTGCCTCGTTCCCGGATAATTTAGCCTAAACTTTTAAAATGATTAAAAATATATAATAAAGTGAAAAATTTATGCAAAAAAGCTGGTAGAGCGGTTGCCTCATAAGCGAAAAGTTCCGAGTTCGATTCACACCACGTTCCTGGTAGTACCGTGCTTAACTTGTTTCTCCGCGCAGCGGCCTTCTTTGTCAATGTTCGTGTTTTGGAGTTAAAGAGTTAAGAATGGGGTTAAAATCACAACTAAAGAAGCCTTCTCGAATGTAGTTCTTGCACTTGGGGGATGGGGGTTGAGAAAGGTGGAAATAAAAAAAAATAAATAATAAAAATTTTGTATAAATTGGGTTGATACCACAGAACTTGTAAAAATGTTTTTTATAGACCATTTTTTAGACATTCTATGTTAATGAATAAACATGGAGTTTTACTGTTATATATAGACATGGTAAAAATAGGAAAAAAGTATAAATAATATCAAGTTTTTCAAATAATTTGACAACTTAACAGTAACTTTCTTACAGAAACAAAAAAACGTTCAGAATTTTAGGCATATACTCTATGTAAGTATGTCAATAAATATTTAAAAAAATGCTAACATATCTTTAAAGCACATTATAAAATATATAATACCCATGAAATATAAAATATTTTATTACAAAAAAAAGTCAGTGAAATTTTAACATTAAAAATTTACCACGTATAGTTTTTCCAATTTAAAGTTTTGTTTGTAGTTTTTTTTTTAATTAAGAATATCTTTGATGGTTGATTACACACTGCTAATGCTATTCAAGCTGAGTAACCTTATTTTGAAAAATTTGGTCAACTCATTTATTCTCTAAACAGGTGATTCCAAGTGGTATTCTATTTCACTGCAAGAGTCGCTTCTCACCTTCGTTTGAGTGGATCCATTAGCTTTAAAGCTCTCTGTCTTAAGAGACTGTCTCAAAGACGTTTTGTTCTGTTTTGAATCATTGTTAGAGGGGACAATTTGGTAGTTACTTTCTGTTACAATTGATGCAAAACTGGAGTAAATATTTCTATTATTTCCCAATGGTGTTTCTAAGTAATCTTCATCCAACGGTTCAGGCGCATCTTGCTCAAGAGTATAATAGTAGGTAAAATTGTTCACTATAACGGGAACAGGAAACGCTATTGTAAGTACACCAACCAACACGCATAGAGATCCAACTATTTTACCACCTATGTATATAAAATTGATCAATAAAAAAAGTTAAAATAATTTAAAGTATTGTTTTAAAAATGAAATAAATTGCAGATTTGGAGATTCAAAAAAAGTTGCATTTTGAAACCCTTTTTATTTTATTTTCTATAATATTTAAGAATGTAATAAGCACTTAATAATATAAACTATATTAATATTGTTACAATATTGCATTATGTTAATTATCTCTATTAGATTTTTTTGTTTGTTTGTTTGTTACGGTTATTAAGGTACTCTTAGAAGTTATAGGGTCTTATCGTAGATATCGTTTATTGTAGATATCGTTTATCGTAGATATCGTTTATCGTAAATATCGTATATCGTAGATATCGTTTGTCGTAGAGCACCGCGAAAGAGCATTTAACTAGAAAGTTTACGCCTTACGAATGTTGCTTATTGGGCTAAAGCCGGCGTCAAATCTCTGAATTCTTGGTTCTGACCCAGATCTCTTCTTAATGTGATGCATTATTTGCATACAATTTCATAACGAAATGAAATATTTTAACATGAATTTATATTATTGCTACATAATAATGCACTTTTTCATAACAAATATTTATATAAAGAATGAATGAAATAGATTATTTTTATTCAAAATTAAAATGCCTTATAATGAACTTTCCCCTATGTGAGTCTTTTTATTCTTTTGACGTCCTCAAACAATGCTTACATTAAATGAGTTTGAGTTTGAGTTTATGTATTTCAGAAATCAATTATGTATGCATATATTAAATTTATATATTTTGATAAGATAATGTTTCAACAGGCACTTCCAGGCACGATCATTCATCTATATTGAATTTCAATTTCTAAACACTATCTTTGAACGAGTTGACTGATATACATTGTTTTAAATGTATGATAACATTACTTATATTAAATAAATTTTTTTGAATGTCAACAATGTTTACAATAGGAGCTGTTCATTTTGATAAAAATTATCCTGCGTAAACGGGATTTAAAAACAACCAAGATCTCGCCTTTTCTAAACTTATACAATTAAAAGATTGCGTTCATATGTAAAGTTAATCACGCCGTTTATGCAAGATTTCACCTAAGAACTACCGGGATCCCGGTCAGGGATCCTGAAAACTATTGATAACAAAAATTATCAAAAAAGTTTTTGTAAATCAAAATAGCTTAAATTAAACTGTCATTTTTAGTTTTTAATTCAAAAATTGACGCGAACGATTTTTTCTGTGTTCAAAAGGAAAAGGGAGATGAGTCTTGATATGTCACTTTACAGCGAAATGTAAAATTAGTGCAGTTGCAACTTTTTTGAAAAGTACGATTTCAAGCCTTGTATAATATGAATTGATTGCTCATTTTTGGAGTAGATATTTAAAATTTAAAACAGTATAGTGCAATTTTTTTCCTTGATACTTAATAATATCGTTATTCAAAAGCCGCGTATATTATACACAGCTTTTGAATAATAATATTTGTAAACAAATATCGCGTAACCTTCAAAACATCCCGCTTAATCGAGGTGTTTTGTTTCTTACGAACACGAACTGAACCTCGGTTAAACTGGATGTTTTTCTCTCTGTATGATCAGGCCCTTAGAGACAATATTTTTGTATGTATGATATCATTACTAATATTAGATACCGTATAATTAGGTATTTTTGTCCATCATAGAATGTTTTTTAAGCATGTTACTAAAAATTTTCTTCTTATTATTGTTGTTGTTGTTTAAAACTTTTTTGATTAAATTCTGATAAATGATAAAAAAAATTTATCAACTAAAAATAATAAAAACTCCATCAAAATGTTGTATTTATAAAAAGAAAAAGTACAACAGTTAGAGTTATAACACTTAGAGTTATAACAGTCAAGTTACAACAGTTTAAGTTACAACAGTTGAAGCTACAACAGTTTGTCTTTACTTTGCTCGGTTGCCCAGACAAATGCGCATATATTGACTTATATTTAGGAACAAATACTTGTGTACAAATATTGTTACAAATAAAAAGTCTACAAGTATTGACTGATATTTGTAGGAATGAACAATCTGAATTATTTCTTTATGACAAAACTGAAAACTTAAAAAATGAAAACAATTGGTGCTTCAAGCGTGTTTACTTATGATGTTGGCATGCCAACGTAAATAATAACTTTTAAAAGCATTTTTACAAATTTTCACAGTTGGGGGGGTTGTTTAGAAAATAGGGGGAAGAAGTTTCCATGAGAAAAGGTTAACGTAAAAATTATAGTTGTTGGGTAACTAAAATTTAAAAACCATAGGGCAAACTTTCTTTTCAAACAATATTCCTGGTAATGATTGGAGCTCAGTTTTTTTTAAGCATTTGCAGCTTTCCCATAGAATCGCATGAAAAATAAAATAATTTGCTTTTATTAACAAAAAATAATTAATTTGTTTTTAAAATACTGAGCATAAGCAAGTCGGAATACTACAAAATAAAATAGGTTATTTTGTAAATAGGTTATTTTGACACATAATAAAATATTAAAGATGGTTAGTCATATTTTTTTGGCCAGTTTAGATGTTTTTTAATAAAAGATTTTTTTAATTTATGACATTTTTTATTTTAAAAGTTGTGTTTCTCAAAATAATATTTTTCAAATATTTTCAAACTAGAATATTGATATATCAGAACCTATTTACTCTATTTTTTTTTTTAAAACTTTTACAGTTTGTTTATTGATGTTGTAGAGAGGGCTGGTAGTAGAATATTTATAAAATATTTTTTATTTTGACCAGAATTTATAATTTTACATACCCCACGGACCATTTTTTATGATCTTTACAGGTTAATATCTGCCATTTTACATTGGTTCTGTATTTTTTAAAAACTCTACTAAACTCCACCAACCATTTAGCTATTTGTTTGTAAAAATTTAAAGTTATTATCTCAAATATTAGTCATATTATTTATGTTCTTCTGACGGCATGTTTTTGCTTTTTTTGGTAAATAAAACTTGCAAAAAATCAAGGGAAAATTATATATAATAGGTTACCGTTTCTCTTTTCAATAAAGTTAAATAGTGTTTCAAGTTTTTGAATATCATAACAACCTGACCTTTAACTAATGAAACACAATAGATTTAGCTTTTTTAAAGATGTATATATTTTTTCATTTGTTAGAGTCTTGTTAAATATGTAATTGCATGTTCACTAAAAAAGTTCAACTTAATGCACTTATCTTTAGTTGTTAAAATGCGGTAAAAAGTTTGTAGTGCCATGTAAAGATTTCTCTGAATTTCTAAACTTATTTTACTTTAATAATGTTCCCTACTAAGCAATTATATTTTTATTTAAAAAAAAAAATTTTGTAAACAATAATCAGAAATGTAGCCTTAATATTGGAAGCCGCTTTTATAACTTTATCAACTTCAGAAATGCCCAATATGATGTAAAAATTACAAAACATTAAAAATTTTAAATCACGAAGATCAATTGATTGGATTTTATATTTTGTTGCTATATGAAAAAGTAAAGGGTAAGGGCCAAGTAGGGTAAATAACTAAAAAAATGATTCACTGATGACGAGTTTTTTTATGAATACTTGTTAGAGTTTTTCATCAAATAAAACATAGGGGTGAACCCCCTGTTTCATTTGATTCACAAAACGTATTAAGTAATTAACATGACTATTTTTTTATTGAATTTTTTATACTTTCGATTTAAGAAAAAATTTGAAATTCTATAGATTTTTTTATAAAAAATTTATAGAATTTGCAGTCAAAAATTTTCCCAGTGGGCACTGGACCAAAAAAAGACGTATTTTGAACGTTCAAAAGACGTCCAAAACGTTCAAAAGACGTCCAAAATGTGTATAAGACGTTTAAAAGACGTCTTTTTTACGTCCGTGTCCACTGGGTTAACTCAAAAAAGGACACAACAAGGTTTTGTATGTCAAAGTTGTTTCATTTTCAAAACTAAAAAAATAATTTTCAGATTTTCAAAACTACCACATTTTCAAAAATAAATTTTACTTCACACATACATCAAAAGAAAGAGGATAAAATTTTGAATAAAATAAATTTAAAAACAATGTTTTTATATTGTGATTAAAAACAAGTATTTTAATTGTGATCTATCACCTTAAGTTTATTTTAGCAAATATTTCTACTAATAAATATAAGTTTATCTTAATGAAATTTTTTAAGCATCCCAGCAACCATTCAATAGAGGAATTTCAGAGAACCTATATAGACATTTTGAGCGGTCGACTGTAGTTTTGACCCTGAGTAACCAAGATTTAAAAAAAAAAATCAAAACTCATGTTTCTTAAGTAGAATAAGTGAATACGCTGGCATAACATTTGTTTCGTAGGCAAGGAAAGCGAAAGTGCTATAAATAAAGATATAAAAAAGTTGGATGCGCCTAAAATATTATAATTTTTTAGCTAAATAATCTTTGAGAAAACCATTTAGTTTTTTAAAAATTTTCATTATTATTTATGATGTGCCTTTCTTTAACTAAAACTCTTTTTACATGAAATTCTTGCATACTTTAAGTATAATATCTTCTTTGATTAGTAATATTAGTGGCAACCTCAATAAATTATCATTAAAGCCTTAGTAAATATCAGTATGCATTACTAAGCTACAATAAGAAGGTACAAAGCAATAATAAGAAGGTCTCAGTGAGCATGTTACGTAAAAAAGACGTCTTTTAAACGTTAATCAAACGTTTTGGACATCTTTTGAACGTTCAAAGACGTCTTTTGTAGGTCCTGTGCCCACTGGGGTACAAAGTTACAATAATAAGGCACAAAGCTGCAATAAGAAAGAATTAATTGTCAAAGTTTCAAAAACTTTAAAAGTATTTTGGAAAAAAAAAAGAAGTTTTTTATATACTTTTAAAAGTTTTAAAAATTATTAAAAAACCTCATTTATATTTTACCAAGAGTCGTTGGAGTTATATCTCCGTAGCCAACTGTTGTCATGGTAACAATTGCCCACCAGAAACCGTGGATGATACTTTGAAATTGGGTATTTTGTTCTCTTTCTTCGCAAAAATAAGCAGCCGACGAAAACAAAACAACGCCGATAGCAAGAAAAAATACTAACAAAGCTAGCTCTTGCAAACTTGCCTAAAATAAATAGTAAATATCAATTAATTACACATAATTTACTACATATTAGTAAAAGACCAACATTTTTTGTAGATATGAATTAAAGAACAAACTATGACAAAATTAAAACAATTTATACTCTAATACAACCGGTAATTTTATTTTCCTTTTTTGTTATTTATGATATTTGTATTTTAAAACATGAAATTATATAAACAAAAAACAAAAAAAAAACAACGATAGTTCAAGAAATATGTTGAAAATTAAAAAAAAACAAAACACTACTCTACAGCAAAACAAAAATTCTTTTCTCCATGCAAATAGTTAACATTTGGTTCTGGTATTTAATTTTTTTAAATACCAATTTAACAACATTATTTCAAATTTTTTTTAATGAAATCTTTTCATTTCTTTGTGTGTAAATTTAAAAAGAGTTACTAGTATTCTTTTATATTTTTTATACAGAAAATGGTACAAGTGCAGTTTTTTTTTTGATGATTCATTCTTTACGACTTTTTAACTTGATTGTACCATTTAACAAGTAAGTCTTTACATATTTACTGAAAACCTCAGCTTAATTTAATCTAATAATATACATTTTTTGTCTCTATCAACACAAAATAAATAGATTTATTTCTTTTTTTTTTTTGTCTTGCTTTCTGCAGGCTCATTTTTAAACAAAACTTTTTTGATTAGTATTTTCATTATTAGATTATTTCAAATTGATATTCTGAAGAGCTGTCTAAATTTAAACAATTTATCAGACGAATGGCGTAATGCGTAATGATTAGTTTCTTTAAATTTTCTTTAAGTTTTTATGCTTACCTTTAGCCCAGATAAATGAAAAATACTGGAATAACAATAACCTCAATAACACTCTTAATAACATAACACTCTTACACCCTTGTGGAAATATTTCAGGTGAAAAAACGAACAATGGAAACGGTTTCAAAACTACTATATTTTATTTAGTTTTAAAAAAAATTTAGAAAATATTTTGTCAACGTTCAAAAATATAAAAGTGGGTTAAAAGACTGGTTCAGAACTTTAAGTTCTTAAGATAGATAGCTTTTGGAAATAGTGCATGTTAGAAGTTTTTAATATTTATATTGATATCAATTAAGAATACTTTAGTAAAAATTGCGACGATCGAGGTTGAGTGACTGGTTAGAGCGCTTGTTCCTTTAATAGAAAAAAATCTCAAGTTGTAACATTGAGATTTCAGGTTTTAAAAAGAATGATATTGTCCCAAATGTGACTTTAGAATAAAATATTAATTTATTTAAATCTCAAAATAAGGATTAGAAAATAGCTGACACCTGTTGCATTACACAGAGAAAAAAACGTAAGTAAAGTAACTAGATAAAAGTAAAAAATATTACGGAAAGAAACACATTAACCCAGTTTAATAGCTTACAAGGTAAAACTTATTTTAAATTCATTGAAACATTTGACGACCCGGACGGTTTCAGTTGACGACCCGGACGGCTGTAGAATGGTAGTTCTCCTACAAAGGAATTTGAATTGGAGTATACAATTAACTACAAAAATCTACAAGAATCTATAAGTATGAGTGTAATCGAACAAAAGTTTATCAAAGTTATAATGAGGCCCAATAGATTAATGAGGTACTAGAGATTATTAAGGCTCTAGACATTAATTAGGCCCTTGAGCAGGCAAAAATAGAAGTAACCATCAACATTGTTTGACAAAAATTACAAAAATAAAGTTGTTGAAATGATCAAAATTACGTTAATGGCGGTCATAACCCAAATCAAACAGCAGCATGACAAAAAAGATTAATGATTTAAATCAATAGAATAACCAACAACAGCTACTGCAAAAATGTCTACTGCAAGAGCAAATAGATTAAAAGCAACAACTAATCATTCTTATCTTAATATAGCAAAGCGAAACACTTATGAAAGTAATTGAAAAAAAAATTACAAAAGAGAATAAGAGTCGAATATAGTAGTTGAAGGTCTTAAAGAGTTCAAATATAGAACTAATGATGATCTTGTATGTATTTTTTAAAGCGATGATGATCTTCAAATATGGTTTACTTCAATTGCTTCAAAAGGAGCTTTTTGAAGCAATTGAAGTAAACCATAAGGAAATTGTTTACGTACGTTGTAATGAAACAATTTCCTTATGGTTTACTTCAATTGCTTCAAAAGGAGCTTTTTGAAGCAATTGAAGTAAACCATAAGGAAATTGTTTACGTACGTTGTAATGAAAGATGAAACATTTGGCAAGAAACCACAAGGACATAAACCTGGACAAGCAAAATCGAATTGGCGTAATACAAGTTGTGTTCAAGTCAACAGATGTACAATAAGACGCTCTGGTAAAAACCAACTTCTACAAGAAGGAAGCGTTCAGAGAAGTATACATTTTAGAAAACCGAGCAGCTGTAAAGCAAGAAGTTTTTAATAAATTATATAATAAAAAGAAGCGAAAAAATTAGACCTTATGAAAAAAAAAGACCTTATGATGAAAGCTAACCTGAACGAACCTATTTGATGGACCATCCACAAACAGACCAGATATATGTGCTGCATTGACACAGCACAATCTGCTAATAACAAAAATTGTGTATGGATTAGAATAAAATAATCAGATCAAATTAAAACAGCAGTTTTAAAGAATCAATAAAAACAATCCATAACTCCTTACAAAAACCATTGTCAATACAATTACCACCACATTGACCAAGACCATTTCTGGTTTTCCGTAAATCAAACTAAATTAACTTTAATCGAAGAAAATTAAAAAACAATTAATAATCCGCATAAAGAACTTAACTCCAGGGAAAACAATTCTCGTTCGCTAAAGCTTAAAGAGATAAACTAATCGCAAGTTATAATGAAACAACAGAAAAGAAACCAAGTTTACTTTTCATCACTCCCACCTGGTTTGATCAAACGTCAGGCAATTGACTTCTTAGCTACCAACTCCATATCAAAAACCGAGGAGCAGAAGAGGTGGTGTAGCCGCCTATATAAAAGGTGATACCCCAACAAATGAAACACAAGTAAATCAACTCAACTCAACAGATTTCAAACACGTATGGCGAGCAATAGACTATGAATCTTATTAGGCTGCATATACCAACCGTATGATAATGACGTGAGAGTTATTATTTTTTAGTTCCAACTCATGCAAATGGTCACTTTACCCACTCACTGCAGAAGTAGAGAAAAAAGACCATCAAGCACACGAGGTTTATTAATCACTTTCAAACGTGACCGCATAGATGATCTACATGAAGGCAGGTCATTTGGCTACACACCAGCAGAGAAAGCCCAGTGCTTTCTTATTAACTCAACAGAACTTCTGTTAAAAAAGAAAAGAAAAAATTCATCTGGAGTAAGGCGAACTATGAGTAGCAAATGAAATGGTAAAGTTATTGGAGGACAATTATGGAAATCTTATAAGAGACAATCATAAAATTTCTCATTAACTTAACGTATATTTCTAGTCTGTATTTGTTGTTGAATCATTACATCAGATGTCAACCTTTAAGAACCGAACAGAAATTGAATGTTCTCCAAGTAAAGCAGAAATAACAACTAAATCAGTTCAGTTTGACAAAATCGAAAGACTTTGATAATATACATTAAAGGAAATACATACTAACGGAAGCACTGTATCGTAATTATGCAATAAATGTAATTTTCACATCTAAAACTTAAAGCATATGGCATACACGGCGCACTCCTGGATTGGATAACTGACTGGTTAAAAAAAAAACAACAGGTAGTGATAATTAGCAATAGAAAGTCTGAATGAGTAAATGTTACTAGCAGAGTTCCAAAAGATTCTGTTTAGGTCTATGATCTACGCTAATTGCAGTAGATCATAGACCTAGAATGTATGACTACATTTATCGAGTTAAATGTTATTTAACTCGAAAAAGTGTCATGCATTCTGGTCATTTAAATAAATCAGTGCAATATTATTCATAGACAACAATTGAACATAACTTGGAATAACAAATATTGGTATCCTCAATACAAAACATCATACGGTAATATCAAACGATCTAAAGGTTAAGCAAAAAGTAGAAGCTGCTGCCGCTATATTAAACCAAGTACTTTGCAGACTAAAAAAAATTATTGCGCACAAGAGGAATAATGTTATGGAGGGTACTTTACACAACATACATTAGACCTCATCTCTTGTATGCCAGGTCTCCTAACCTAAACTGTAACAAATAAAACACTTGAACGCATTCAACAGCGAGCTCTACAAATCTTTTGTCCGCCCTTTATTAGAATGTTTATGTCGTGATTGGGTTGGACCTTCGTATAATGCTTTTTCCCAACCAAGTTGAAAAATATTGTTCCAAAAAAACTAAAAAAAACAAATTTTGAAAAAAGAGTGTATTACTGTCATCGGTTTTGATGACAATGAACTATGTGAGTATTGTATCTGAATTAGATTATAAGGTCCTTTATGCAAGACCAAAGAAAAGTAATTATGAGTCTTGTTCAGAGCGCAGTATTGGTAAATCGATATTATTTATGCCAAGAATTTTAACAGGCTGTCTGCTAGATCAAGAAAATCAATAAAAAAAGGGAAAAGTCAGAGAACTATAAAAATAAGGGAAAAGTCTAGAAAAAAATAAGTGGATAATCAGGAAAATTGGGTTAAATTTTGGAAAAATTAGGAAAAACGGCTTTAAATCAAACTTATGTAACTTTAGTAAATTGTTAATTGTACACGTAATATAAAATTTTATTGGCAGTTTTTCTGCTCTGTATTATTGTTGTATAATTGTTTACTTTTTTTCAATTAAAGAGCATTTTTTTAAGAGAACTTAATTCTAATTTTTCTAAAGTTAAGTTTGGGTAACAGTACATCAAATCAGGGTAAATAGGTTGTGATCAAGGAAATATCAGGGAAATCCACCTTAAAATATTTGGCAGACACCCTGTCAAATAGCAACTGTATTTGTTCTTGGTTACAAGCATTCAGTTTGTTTGGGTGTTGGGTAATTCCATGTCAAATGAGCG